TCTTTCCCTCTTACATACAGTTATATGTCACAGCTCTGTCTTTATACATTATGTGGCTATCAACTTAGATGTATAATTATTTCTTTTTTAAAAAAATAATTATTTATTTATTGTTATTTTTCACATGAGTTTTGCCAGAGCAAGACAGATAGAGAGAATGAGAAAGAAAGCTGCCTGGTCCAGGACTCAAACCATGGCCAGCCATGTGGGAATTCCAGCACCTTAACCACCATGCCACCTGCTGGCCCTATAATTATTTCTTTAATGAAGATATCTGTGAATCTTGATAGGAGAAAAAAATTATAAACAAAAAACTTATACTGTCTTTTAAGAATTGTTTAATTTTATCATTATTTTTAAAAATTTGCTACAGGGCACTCACACTCATGGTGTGAGGAGAGAGAGAGAGAGAGAGAGAGAGAGAGTATTAGAAAGCAAGCTACCAGGTCCAGGACTCAAACCATGGTTGGCCATGTGGGAGTCCAGAGCCTTAACCACCACACCACTTGTTGGCCCCCTATACTGTCTTTTATATTTACAGTTATATTTATTGAAACTATTTATTTCTTTATATGGATTCAAGTTGTTATTTAGTGTTCTTTCATTTCAGACTGAAATACTACCTTTAGCATTTCTTGGAAGGAAAGACTACTTAGCAACAATTTTCTCAATATCTGTTTAGTTGAAGTGGTTTTATTTTTCCTCTATTTTTGATGGACAGTTTGCTTGACTAGAGAATTCTTGGTTGACAATTTTGTTTTCTTTCAGTACTTCGGATATGTCATTCCATTATCTTCTTGCCTTACAGTTTTGGAAAAGTTATCAGTTAAAAATCTTATTGAAGACTTCTATGTGATGAGTTGCTTCTTTCTTGTTGCATTCAAAATTATACTTTTGGCTTTGACTTCTGATGTGTTTTACTGCAAGTCTCTGAGTTTATCCTTGAGTTTGCTGATTTTCCTGTTGGTGTAATGTTTCTTTCTTCAAATTTAGGGAGTTTTCAGCTATTCTCTTACAGTCTTCCTTTCTCTACTCTTCTTCTGGTACTCCCATTATGTGTTCATGTGCCTGAAGTTGTCCAACAGATCTCTGAAACTGTTCATTTTTTCTTCTATTTTTTCCCCCAGTGGCTCAGACTGGATGATCTCAAATGACCTATATTCAAGTTCACTGATTCTTTTGCCTACTTAAATCTGCTCTTGAGCCTCTCTAATAAAATTTTCACTTGTTATTGTATTTTTAATACCAGAATTTTCATTTGATTCATTTTAATAATTGCTATCTCTTCACTGATATTTTTATT